CTGCTACATTAGGACAAGACAAGTACTTAATTTAGTGTTAAACAATAAACATATTAAAATAACATGAATATAACACTCATTGCTATCCCATATCACACATGTTAAAGCATGGATTTACTTTGACAAATCAATACATGTCTGAATAATAAGGTATATGTATGAAGAAGTTCTTCATGTTGTGTTATAGTTATTTATTTAAACTTAGATTTGCGCCCCCCCCCCAAAAAAAAAAACAGGAGTTATCAATCTGTGTTCCCTGGTTCTGTGAACACACAATGGATCAGTTAGAATTGAACAGAGAAATATTTGATTTACTACTGCAATTGTTATAACACAGTCCAGCATTTTTTGGTGAAAATAGAGACACAGAACTAATACCTATCTAATTAATTACTTGAATTTCACATACATGATTACAGGAAGTCCAGCATCTTCTTAAGGCCTCCTCTTTTAACATCAATTGTCTGAACCTCAGGAACTTGCACTCAAAACTATTTTTTTCCAATGGTCCTTTAGAAATATAATTGGAATCTTACTAGTCCACAAATATTGTGCTTCTTTTCACATTATTACTTTTGAAGTGTTGCTGCTGATTTGCAACCTCGTGAACTGCAACCAGGAAAACCCTGATGGGCTGAGGTGACAGTGGCATCACTTATTGTGTGACTCGGCTCTTTTTAAGTTTCCATGCTCAGCCACTGTGCTGAAGCCTAATCACTGCCAGGCTGACTGGGCCCAAAGGATCGTCTATCAAATGCACTTGCTCTGCTATGAATACGTATCTTCATGCATGCATTCATTCACTTAACCAATGTTTATCGGGTGTCTATTTTTTATGTAATGTGTTTGCTGTATTATTTAATAATATTACATTCTGCTAAAGAAAATAAAAGATACAGATATGTAAGGAGAATAGATGAACCTAAAGAAAGAAGCAAGTAACTTATGCAAATTGTTATACATTGATAAAGAAGAGTGTGTAAATATTGATAATTCACAAAAACAATCTAAAGACAAAGCAGTCTACTAAATATACTTGAGTCACTCAATGCTCTTAAAGTATTCAATATCCATACAGAATCAAGTTGGCCATCCATCGGCGACACCTATTTTTTGGGTCTTTTGTTTTCCACCTGATACATACAGATAAAATTCATTGTTACTCATCAGGTCATCAGGTGATTTACTGCTGTGTTCAGGCACATTAACTCTTGGTTTTTCTGATAGAGCAAGCTCCAGGCATCTTCCCTCTGCTTCCATCTCCCTCAGTTTTGGCCCTCATAAGCTTATCATCAGTAAGAAAGACTGATACAACACAGACAGAGATAGAAGAGACATATGCAGGTAATGATTATTTGAGATAACCTGCCTCATTGTGTACTTGGAGACTACCATTGGATTAAGGTAATTTCCCACATCAACAACATGCAAGGCACTCTTCTAGGTGTTGGAGAGAAAGCAATTAATAAAGCCAACAGAAACCTTTAGTAGAGCTTGCATTCTAGGGGTGATGAAATTAATACTTGTGCATGACCATGAGCAATCAAATTCAGCATGAGTGGAATATCCACTCTTGATTTTTTTAACTAAAGAAATTTTTATTTCAGGGATCTTTTTTTTTTTTTTGTCATTCTCTGCCACTATGACTTGATTCAGACCATTCTGAGTCATTCCAATTGTTCTGCCTAACTTTTTTTCTCAAGGGGCTTGATTGTGACTTCTTTCCTCCTATGAGTCATGAGATTCTGTGGTAAATCAATTCACCAATTCATTCATTTGGACTTGGGTAGTAAGAGACCTCAGTTAATCCCCAATTTGTTCTATCCTTACTTTCAGTTTTGCCAATGAATCACCCTCACTGTACAGTTGCATAAGTAAGAAGGAGCACATTCAAATAACTATTCTCTAAACAAAGAGGACTTGTTCGAAGGTTACTAATGAACTCACTCCGAGGCACAGAGAAGGCCAGAATGATTTTTAACTGCATTCTCTGCTGCTCCTTTATTTTAACTTTATCTTACTAGGTACCCTGTTTTATTTATATTCTTTCCCACTTGGGTAAGTTAAAGCAATTAAATGCATTTTAATTAGCTCCTCATCCCTTTGACTAGGTCTTCCAATAAATAGGAGGACATTTATTTCAGTTTCTAAAATAAAAGCCGCAGAGCATATTGACTAATAAGGGGAGAGGTGATTTCTGTTGCGAAGAAGCCACAGGGCAGGGGCTACTAAAATATAGACTTCCTTTGCTTAGATCAGTGGTTCTCAACCTTCCTAATGACGCGACCCTTTAATACAGTTCCTCATGTTGTGGTGACCCCCAATTTCATTGTTACAAATTGAACATAATTAAAGCATAGTGATTAATCACAAAAACAATATGTAATTATATATGTGTTTTCTGATGGTCTTAGGCGACCCCTGTGAAAGGGTCGTTCGACCCCCAACGAGGTCGCGACCCACAGGTTGAGAACCACTGGCTTAGATAACATGAGAACTGACTCCACCTCCTTTGACTGCTAGTGTAACAACAATCCAAAAACACAGAAGAAGGGCCTACACAGCCACATCTGTGTTCAAGAAGAGTCATTAACCCACTTCATCCTCACAGTACCATGAGAACTGACCCCACCTCCTTTGACTGCTAGTGTAAGAACAATCCAAAAAAACAGAAGAAGGACCTACACAGCCACATCTGTTCAAGAAGAGTCATTAACCCACTTCATCCTCACAGCTACTCAGTCCTGACATGCAGCCTGGAGTGAAATACTATAGGGACGACAGTGATGGGTACCATTTGCATCTCTCCTTTATTTTGTCTCCAGCACTCTAATAAATTACCTATTTTCCCATTTATAGCAAAACTTGTGAGTGGGTAAGGAAACCTTGCAAAAGGCTACCATAAATTATTTAAGATAGCTCAAAAGCCATTTAATTGGAATATTTTAGAATACTAAAACCATTAAATGCAATGCCTCCTAAGTACAAATTAATTACCTTCTCATTAATTTCTTTTAGACTTCTGAATTTTTAAGTAATTACTCTTTTTTAAAAAAGCTTTTCCCCTCAACCAAAAGGCTTGTTTTCAGAGCCTATTTATTACAGTTTCTATTAAGATTCTATTTAAAATCTCAGATAATTACATCCACAACCCCGTCTTTTGAGTTACTTCTAGAATTAAGTGGGTCCACTAAATTCCTATTTCCCAGCATTTAGAGGAAATGTTTTGTTTGTTTTCTCTCCCTCCTTATTTTCCCATTTCTCCATTTACCACTACTTCCCTTGGCTATAATTCACTGCTTATCTGAACTGTTTTTAAAAATCAGTTTACCTAAGAGAATAATAACTACTCCAAATACACATACATTTATTTAGCAAGCCTCAGAAATTACCATTTTTCCATTTAACCATTTAAAGTTATCTCAGACTTTAATTTTCCTATTTTAAAGTGAAAATGAAGAAAAGGAGGGTTAAGCTTGTTTAATAATTGTATTCCCAAATCTAATCTCCTCATGAGGATATTAAGTGCCTTCCATAAGTATGTCTAACTTTACTTATCATACTTGTTTGCTCAGTTTAATCCTCTTCCTGCAGTCTTTGTATTCAAATCCTATCAAATCGTCCTGATTCTAAATCCCTGTATAAGTATGGTACTGTATTTTCTAGTACCTCAGCACACATTGTTTGATGTATTAAAATATCATCTTACTAATTAATGTCTAAAGCAGCAATTTTCAACATATATCATATGTTTTGCTTATCTGACAAAAAAATTGGTGTAATTTTTATTCATTCACACCAGACAGCTATTGTTGTGTTGGCTGTTGTCAGTTTTTATTTGACAATCTAAGGGAGAAGAGGTCAGTGCCCCTGACTAACCAGCCAGGTACTGCATGTTTTAAGAATTCTTGCAGCACACCAGTGCGCCTGCCACAGCACACAGGTTGAAAACCACTGGTGTAGAGGGCTAGAGACAGAATCATACTATCTACTTCATTGTCATTCTCGGGGCTCTAACACAATGAGGCATATAGTGTTGATATAAAAAGAGTTGCTCATAAACAGAGGACAAAAATATTTAATGGCTTCTTTAGGGAAACCCGATGAACTACAGTTTGGAGAATTTAGATAGTGAAGAAAATACTAAAGTAGCAAGAGGGACTGTTGGCCTAAGGAATATGGCTTTTTACTCAAAATACAATTTTAAAATGCACACACACACACCTTTCTACATACATATATATGTGTCTGTGTCTATGACTATGTCTATCTCTATATTTAGCCCTATTCACAACGACATTTACCAAGGTCTGAGTTACCTAGCCCTCAATGGTACGCGTAGACAGCGAGACAGCAACTGTCCCAGCTCGGCATGCTTCGCCGTGCCAAGTCAATCTCCTCCACAATGAGGTGGTTTTGCAACTCTTTTAAGTTTTAGGTCCTAATCTGTGAACCACTGCTCACATGTAAGCATGTCTCTAAAAGAACAAATGAGAGTTTTGAGTCCCTGAGTAGTCCAAAAATATCATTAGCAAAGGATCATTTCTCGTCGACGGCAGTCAGACTCTGCCTACGACATAAAAACACTGCTCTAGCACCCAGAGTAGTTTAACTCCTTAAAACACAACGTATCCAAAGATTTACTTCAGAAGTTGGTTTTTGTTCTACATTTGTATGATAAAATGGGAAATTCCAGTATTTACTGGATTTACTATCTTCCCAAAATTCATATCCATCTGGAACCAGTGAACGTGACCTTATTTCAAAATAGGGTCCTTGGGGATTTCAACGGGTTAAGGTGAGGTCAGACTGGATTAGGATGGGCCCTAATCCAGTGACCTGTGTCCTTAAAAGAAGAGGGAAATCCGGACATAAGAATACACACGGAGAATGCCATGAGACAATAAAGGCAGAGATACCAATAATGAGTCCACAAGCCCAAGAATGCCAAGGGCTGCCAGCAGCCACCAGAAACCAGGAGAGAGGCATAGGACACTCACCCTCAGAGCCTTCAGAAGAAGCTGACTTACCAACACCTCCATCTGAGACTTCTAGCTTCCAAATGAAGTGAGAGAATAAGTTTCTATTGTTTTAAGTCACTCAGTTTGCAGCCCTAAAAACCTTAATACAGCGGTTCTCAACCTGTGGGTAGCGACCCCTTTGGCGGTCGAACGACCCTTTCACAGGGGTCGCCTAAGACCATCCTGCATATCAGATATTTACATTACGATTCATAACAGTAGCAACATTACAGTTATGAAGCAACAAGGAGAATAATTTTATGGTTGGGTCACAACATGAGGAACTGTATTTAAAAGGGCCAGAAGGTTGAGAACCACTGCCTTAATACAAAGTGCATTCGATGCATTATGGCATACTCTGCAATTTAATTTAAATCTTCACCTTGTGAGACAGAATTTTTTTTTTCTTGAGCATTGCAATGAGGTTGTCAAGATTATTCCAATTCCATGTAGGTTTTACAGATCTTGTTCTGGCCATGTCTGCATCCCTGCCATAATCAGGTTATTGGGTTCCAGACTGGCTTTCTCCTCACACAATAGTGGGGAATCAAATTGAAGTCAGGAATAAAATAAAAGAATAATAACCATAACTAATAGGTGTTTATTTCAAGCAGGAAGGTACTTACCTTAACATTTAAAAATCAATGTTATTTAACACATCAAAATAATAAAAAAGTTACATATCTCAATAGATGCAGAAGATATATTCACAGGACATCATAGTGGTGAAAGACTAAACACATTCTTGTGTTTGGGAGCAAGGCAAGGATGTCTAGTTTTACCACTTCTGCTTAACATTGAGCTGAAGGTCTTAGTCGTTGCACTGAAGAAAGAAAAATAATTAAAACAGAAAGAATATAAAGAAGTAATTAAATATGTCTTGACTGTGTACATAAATACAGGGGTGCTAGAACTAGTAAATGAATTTAGCAAGATTGCAAAAAACATGGATAACAGAAAAATCCTCCTATATAATAAAAGGGTAATATGCAAATCAACTGAACGGCGGAACAACCGGTTGCTATGATGTGCACTGACCACCAGGGGGCAGACGATCAATGCAGGAGCTGCCCCCTGATGGTCAGTGCGCTCCCACGGGGTCGGGGGTGGGGGGGTGGGAGCACTGCTCTGCCAGAAGCCCTGAGCCTGCATGGCTGGTGAGCACAGCGGTGGTGGCAGGAGCTTCTCCTGCCCCTTCTGCAGCACTAAGAATGCAGGGAGCAGGCATAAGCCATCAGTCAGACATCCCCTAAGGCAGTGGTTCTCAACCTTCCTAATGCCGCGACCCTTTAATAGGGTTCCTCATGTTGTGGTGACCCCCAACCATAAAATTATTTTCCTTGCTACTTCATAACTGTAATTTTGTTACTGTTATGAATCGTAAAGTAAATATCTGATATGCAGGATGTATTTTCATTGTTACAAATTGAACATAATTAAAGCATAGTGATTAATCACAAAAACAATATGTAATTATATATGTTTTCCGATGGTCTTAGGCGACCCCTGTGAAAGGGTTGTTCGACCCCCAAAGGGGTCGTGACCCACAGGTTGAGAACCACTGCCCTAAGGGCTCCCAGACTACGAGAGGGTGCAGGCCAGGCTGAGGGACCCCCTGAGTGCACGAATGTGGTGCACCAAGCCTCTAGTATTTTTATAAAAGCTGGGTATAAAAAGGTAACAAAAGCATGGTCATTACTATCAAAGAGATTGCAGACCAACGAAAGTGATATCAAATATACACAATTTACAAAATTAAATTCTTAAGATTGTGAAATTAGATGAAAGAACATAGCTTTAGAGTGTCTAAGCAGGTTTCACAGAGTATTCAATATCTGAACTGATATTTTTAATAAAAATAAACTATTTTTATTAATATTCCTCAATAGATTGTGAAAATTTTACCAGGAGTTAGTCATCTTTTAGAACACAGATTAGATGTTAGATCTAAGGGTAGAGATATCTGTGCTGGAGGACAAGAGGTGATAGATTCTATGCACAGGAAGTCAAGACAAGAATGGGGGGAAGAGAAAGAATTGTGAACTAATATTCTTATCCAAAACAGGAGCTCTTAAAATAACTCCAGCAAGAAAAAAAATAATATAAATAACACAAGAGCTTATGTTGAAGCATATAAATGGAGGGATTTAATTTATTAGGCATTTCTGAGTAGATTGGCTAGAACTTGTGACAAACTAGAGGAGAGCTTTTTGCAAGATAAATCAAGAATAAATATTTAAAAACAAACAGAAAAATAAAAGGATTTGAAATCCCATTTTACTTATAGCATAAATTCTTAGACTTAATTTTTCTTTAATGAGTTCGCATATTTCACTTTTAGTGACTAGTAATCCGAATACCGTCCTTGAAGACAAAACACTGACTTCAGCATTCCTTAAATGCTCCCCTTCTTTCCATTCCTATTTTCAAATCTCTAATTCTTATCTTTACTTACCAGATGGCTAGATTTTGCAATAGCCTCCTTAATGGTTTTCCCACCTCCCATATCCCTCTCCTTTTGCTTTTTCTTGCACATAAATATCATGTCTTGACTATACTAAAAAGAAAAAAAAGTAGCATCCTATTATTTGCTCAATACATTTCGAACTCCTTACTCTGGCACTTCTTTATTCAAAGTGTAAGATCTAACCTCAAGTTTATTTCCACCTAAATCCTATTAATAAGTTTATATAAATTTTATTTTCCAGGCAGTAAAGATCAATTTTAGAGCCCCCAATCTTGCCTTTGGATTTCAACCTCCACACTTAATGCTCAGTCTCTTTGATTTACCAAGAGTGGTCCCTTGCCCCTGACCAAGCGCTCCCTAAATCAAAGGTCTCTAGAGGTCCAGCTTCCATCTCATCCTTTCCACATCTTTCCTGCGCACCCCTACTGGGTGTGAAACCTTTCCACACTCATCTTCTCCAGTAATTGTTGATCAGGTTATTTAAATGCCATCATCTATGGGCTAAGGTATTAATTGGATTTTTTGGCTAAATTGGAAATACATTTTATGTATCTAATTAGCTGGAACAATTCTTGAGTTCAAAGACTCTGGGTATTCATGTAAATTTGGATTTGAATGTTGGCTCTATGACCTACAAATTTTGTGACTTCATCCAACCTTTTTAACCTCTGAATATCCAAAACTTCAATTTTATCTTCTCTAAAATGGAGATAATAATAATACTGTCCATTAATTCATTCCTCATCCCAAACTCTCTCATTCAATATTTAGTAAATATGTTCCTGCCACACTTTGTGCTAATTTTTGCATCTAAAGGAGGGAACAAAATAGAAGCAGTCCTTGCCCTCGTGGAGCTTTCAGAAAGACATAACGTAAGATTTAAAAGCGTGCTCAATGCATGCTAGTACCCTTCTCTCCTCATAGTAATAAAAATAAAAGCTAAAGTTTATTGAGTTCTTTTTATATGCCAGCCATGTAAAACACTGTTGTAACTATTTTACCTGTGTCAGCCACCCTGTAGGAAGGTCCACTATTACCAATTACATTTCTTTTGGATTGGGAAAGAGAAGCCCTTAAATTTTGGGTGTTTCACTCAAGATCATGTACTTATAAACGATGGTATCAGAAGTAAAGCCAGAAATATGGAGTCCATAGTTTATGGACTTAACTGCTAAGCTATACTGCTTCCTAACACACAAAATGTACCACTCAGTGTCCTGCACACTTCAGATGCTCAGTCGTTGTTTGTGGTTGGTTTCTGTTATAAATTAGTACACCAATAAAGGTGTAATGTAAGCCATATATATCATTTAAAAGTGCAGGCCTGTATAAAATTTTTAAAAATTTTACATTTATTGTTGGAAGTATGACAGATGTCCCCTTTTGTTCTCTCAGTTATCTCTCTACCCTGCTCCAATAGTCATGTTAAAAAGGAAAAAAAAAAAAAAACAGGTAAAATAATATTAATAAAATGTTACTTAACTCAATATAGATTATCATCTCAACATTAAGTTTACATATAAACTAGAGGCCCGGTGCATGACATTCGTGCACTGGGGGGTGTGGGGGTCCCTCCCGACCTGCACCCTCTCCAATCTGGAATGTGGAGCCACAGGATTTAGTTTTGGAGCCCAGCTATGAGTAAGTAAATGAAAATCAAAATAAATTTTAAAATTTTCAAACATTTTACTAGTATTTCATGAAAGATGTGCAGGTATCTCAATACTTAGGTTAGAGCACATTTGTTAAAATTCCCTGTCTTCACCTGCCGATTTCCACTATCCCCTGCAGCTCCTCCATCACTTCCCTTCAGACCCGTACTTCTCACATACTTTCATTACATGTGGCTTTTCTTTCCTCATCCTCCCAGCCTTCCCTCACCATTTGATCATATAGAACAACTTAGCAACTTTGGTTAATTCTTTTTTTCCCACTTACTATCTTCGTGATTCCTTCTTTTTACTGTAGCATCATGAAAACCCAAATAATCCTTCCAAGCAAAAGACAGAGAACACTCCTTGGAAAATAGGGAAAGGTAGAAGACAAATAACCAAAGCTGATTTTTTTTTTTTTTTTTTTGGCTGATCATTGTGGGGAGTTGAAGATAAATCTCCTAGCAGCAAATATGTCTTTTCTTTTTCTCCACTACAGTGCAGATGGAGTTAAGGTGAAGTGGAGAGCACAGATTCGATCGGGAAAAGAACACTGTGTTCTTCATTCCTGCTGGATTCAAGGAATAAAGAACAATGTAGTCCATTGGCCTTAGAGGAACCTCAGCCCGATAATGGGCAAATGCGACTTTGTGATTTGCCTCTGATAGGAAATGCCTCAGTGCCTTCCCGTTATCTAATTGGCACTGAGGAAGAATGTCAGAGCTTTGTGATTTATAAAAGAATCAAATTACAGTCTTTTGCTTCTTTTTCATAATTAAGTAGTCACTGAGTATCTATTTTTTAATGGTCCTTAAAAAAATAAAAACCCTAAAAAAACTAACACCCTTATCGAACTAAGGCTTCAAACTTAAATTCTGGAGACAAATAACACTGATGTAGAAGAGCATAATGCTTAGATAATGGTCCACTAAGTCTTTAATTACTCACTTGCACGCTGTGGTCCCAGAGGGAGGAGGGCTTCTGTTTTCCTTTTCCCGTCTCCCTGGCAAAAAGTACCTTCCTTCCCATCCCAGGGTGGGAAACTTCTAGGAAGCTTTATTCTTTCGAACTCAAACCCCAAGCCAGAACTGAGGCCTCCATCGTCTGCTCTGACTGTACTTGCCTGGCAGCTACCAACACCGTTACAGCAGTGTTTTCCCAGTGTCCTGTGTCTTGTTCATTTTTCTATCTCCAGCATCGGGTGCAGTAGCTACACATTGCAGGCCCTCGATCAAGTTTTGTGAATGAATGAATAGCTCTCTCCTTTTAGGTCCCTCACATCGTTATTGTAAACCATCAAAGTGTGTCAAGCCTTTGGAAGTCAGTGCTACTTAAAATAATCGTTCCTTATTCTCTGTCCTTCCTGGGTCTTTCCAGTATCAAGGAGTAAGGATGTGGTTCAGACACAGATGAATAGTGCTTTAGATTGTTAGTATTAGGAACAGTTTGCTTTATGACAAAAAGGTCGATCTTGGGATAGTGGAGTGAGTGAGTAAATGGATAACCACTTTATGATATGACATATTCAAAATAATAAAATGGGCCTGTTTGGGAAAAACATATTAAGAAGTTTGAAAGTTTGGCTTCTAAAATGTTTTACCAAATAGAGGAAAAAATTGGAAAAAAAAAAAATCCTGTTTTCATTTAACATCAAAGAAAACAAAGAAGAAGAGGAGTGATGGTTTCCTTTTTAAGGATTATGCATCCTCTAAAGCTAGTGATGGGCATGTTGATACCAGAATAATGAATTTGGTGTATAGGTTTTGCTTGTTTTCTCTCCGGAGGGAATTTAATGTCTGAAAGACAGGAAAGCTACAGACTTAAATGGATAGGACAGAGCTTAACAAGGAATAAGAAAAAAAACAATTATTCTTGTAAAAATTAGCAAAAGAGAAAAACTAGCCTGGCCAGTGTGGCTCAGTGGTTGAGCATTGACCCATGAACCAAGAGTTCTCTGGTTTGATTCCCCATCAGTCAGGGAACTTACCGTGCCCTAGTTGTGGGCTCCATCTCCAATAGAGAGAGTGCAAGAGGCAGCCAATCAATGTTTCTCTCTCACTGATGTTTCTATCTCTCTATCTCTTTCCCATCCTCGCTCTCGAAAATCAATAAAAAAATATTTTTAATAAAAGCGAAAACTAGACTAACAGAGAAACTTTCCTTATGTGATTTACATGATTTCTCCTTAGACTGCGGTGGAGGCCTGATTCTCTACCATGTTCTAATAACATAAGATGGAAAACAAATAAGCATCTTGCAATGGGCTGTCTGCTGAGGTTGAAGTAAGTGTCTTAATAGCAACTATCTCTCATGGTTCTTTCCCAGAAAAAATAAATCTACTTTGGTCCTGGAAGGTGGTCAAGATTGATATTCGTGTCAAAGCTGATTTCAACTTTTCTACCCCAGAAAGATGTGGAGGCACCGATATGCCCCAGGGAAAGGCTCCCAGGGGGTTTTACAGGGACCCAGGGGAGCAGATGAGAAAGCCCGTTGTTTGCAAGTGTGACAGTCATTTCCTCCGCTGCTGGCAACAACCTGCATCGCCTGATAAGCTTCCTGTATCAAGTAATCTTCCCCATCTATAATCTTTGTGACTCGCCAAAAGGAATTGCCAACATTCTGTCCTTGATTTATCAAGAAAGAACAAATCGGCAGCTGCTGGTAGGGTTACAGGTTGCATGTTTTCTCAGCGCAGTCACTCGATTGATTTGTGTGAGGTGGCTAAGCCCATCAACAACAGAGGTTCTATTTCACAGCAGATTTTGTAGCAGAACTTTTCCTCGCTAAATTTATTTTCCCTTTTCAGTCCCTGAAAACACAGACAGAGGCATTGAGTAGTGGGAAGAAGTGATTGATAAAACATGAGATTGTGCCTTATCAGGAATAGCAGGTTTCCATGGTGCAGTATAGGGAGAACGACCATGCCTACAGCGGCTAACTCATCTGATATACTTGTTGCAGCAAAAACTGGGTTTACAGATGGGGTCGATCTTGGAGAGGATGGCTAAGGCGCTTCGGATAAATGATACCCGGCTATCAGGGAGCCCAGGTGTTATCCTGATGCCAGTTAGCATCATCACCCTGCTGCTGAACATTCAAGCAGACGTGTTCTGACCCCTTATTCCATAGATTGTAAAAACTACATTCCAAAGGTGTCTTGTTTTCATGGTTATCTCTGGCTCTGAGCTTCTGTGCCCACAAAAGTCAGCTGTGGGGTGCCCTAACCAGTTTGGCTCAGAGGATAGAGCGGTGGGAAGAAGTGATTGATAAAACATGAGATTGTGCCTTATCAGGAATAGCAGGTTTCCATGGTGCAGTATAGGGAGAACGACCATGCCTACAGCGGCTAACTCATCTGATATACTTGTTGCAGCAAAAACTGGGTTTACAGATGGGGTCGATCTTGGAGAGGATGGCTAGGGCGCTTCGGATAAATGATACCCGGCTAGCAGGGAGCCCAGGTGTTATCCTGACGCCAGTTAGCACCATCACCCTGCTCCTGAACATTCAAGCAGACGTATTCTGATCCCTTGCTTATTCCATAGATTGTAAAAACTACATTCCAAAGGTGTCTTGTTTTCATGGTTATCTCTGGCTCTGAGCTTCTGTGCCCACAAAAGTCAGCTGTGGGGCGCCCTAACCAGTTTGGCTCAGAGGATAGAGAGCCGGCCTGTGGACTGAAGGGTCCTAGGCTCGATTCCGGTCAAGGGCATGCAGCTTAGTTGCGGGCACATCCCCAGTGGGAGGTGTGCAGGAAGCAGCTGATTGATGTTTCTCTCTCACCGATGTTTCTAACTCTCTATCCCTCTCCCTTCCTCTCTGTAAAAAATCAATAAAATATATTTTTTTAAAAAGTCAGCCGTGGAGACAGTTTTCCATACTATTCCAGGTGACCTTTTATCAAACTGTGTCAATGTTGAAGTACAACAGCATTTTATTTCTTAGATTCTGTAAGATGTAACCTACACAACATTTGATGTATGAAAGACTTTACTGAAGGCTAAGACCTCTAGAGAAGCTTACTGTGAGAAACGTGAACTAAGAATTCCTTGTTTGGCTCTTCTCTTCCTCAAAATGTTTCCCCTGGCAGTTTCAAAGACTGCATGCCCAAGGCTGCACCCTCTAGAATGCTTAGAGAGAGAACCTCCAATCTTCCAATCCTTGCCTAAATATAGGATAAACACCATAAAAACCCCTGAATTATAACAGCAGCCTCCAAGTCACACCCATATTCAATGGTAAAGGGTAAAAAATATAGCTAATTAAGAGGGCTTAAGCACAACATTTGGTCAAAAAGTGGCTTAAGCTAATCCAGGGTGATCTTTAGGTAGCCAGGAGGGAAAATATGAGCAAGGATATCAGAAACTGCAGGCAAAATAGACTTCTCAGAATTCGTTGAGCCAATACACTAAATAAATAAACAAACCATCTGTTGTAATGTACCCTGCGAATCACACAAGGATGCCTCAAGAAGTCAAATTAAGGAGTCACATTTATTTCAAATCCGGGACTACGAGGGGGCATTTTGCTCTCCAAATCTCACAGTGATTAGATGGCCCCAACACCAGATTTATATAGGCAAAAATCACAAAGGTATTGATTAGATCTCGGGGTTAGGAATGAGGAACCTGGTTTGCAAAAAAGCAGTTTATTACAGAAGCTGGATTGAGCTGATTGGTTATCTACAAAGATTAATTATAGTTTCGGGTCTTGGGACCACTGAGTTGATAGAAACACATTATCTGGAGCCATCAGGTCTTGGGACCACTGAATCAACGGAAACACATCTGGAGCCACTGGGGCAATTTAGAATAATTGTGCAGTCCTGGCCTCCAGGTACAGAGGAATGTGTTTTCTAAAACCAGTATGACCACAACCAATGGGGTATTCAATTACACTCAATAGGGTATTCAATCGAATGGGATGATTTATATAATTCAGAAAATCAAAATAACTTTTCTATTATGTTAGCAAGCAAATAATGTCAGAAGCTAAGTCAGCCAGGGTTAAAATATTAGACAGCAATTCCCACCAAGCATGGTTGCCACCATGCTTCACATCAAGCAAACAGCAGTCATGACTAAGTTCAGAGGAATCAGTACCTAGACTTGCTACAATATACTTTCTAAAATGTAGCTTTCACCAAAAATATTATGAGATATGCAAAACAACCTCAGGAAAGTATGACCCATATACAAGGAAAAAAAAACACACTAGAAAATGCTTTTTGAGGGATCTGGAAAGTCATCTTAGCAGACAAAGACTTTAAAGTAGCTATGATAATTATGTTCAAAGAACAACAACAACAAAAACTATGCTTAAAGAAGTAAAGGAAGTTATGATGATGATATTTCATCAAACAAAATATCAATAAGGAGGTAGTTATTAAAAAGAACCAAATGGAATTTTGGAGTAGAAAAGAACAATAACTAGCAGAGGGTCTCAACATTAGAAGTGAACTGACAGGAGAAAGATTCAGTAATCTCAAAGATTGATCAATATAGGTCTTACAATTTGAAAAACAGGAGAAAAAAAGGATGAAGAAAAATGAATGCAAATTGAGAGACATGTGGGGCATTATTAAGTGTACCAACATAAGTGTAATTGGAAAAAGAAAAAGTATTTTTTGAAATGTCAATTGTGCAGTAATTGTGCAGTCCTGGTCTCCAGGTACAGAGAAACCATACTAAATTCAATCATAAACATTAATCTATACATCCAAGTAGTTCAACAATTTTAAAATAGAATAAGCTGAAAGAGATCTATAGTCAGATACAACATAGTAAACATGTTGAAAGCCAAAAATAAAGAGAAAATATTTAAATCAGTACGATAAAAATGACTCAACACATACAAGAAAACCCTGATAAGATTAATGGTTGACTTTTTATCAGAAACAATTAAGGCCAGATAGTAGGATGACATATTCAAAGTGCTAAAAGTAAAAGCAGCCAACCAAGAATCTTTTATTCAACAAAACTCTTTCAAAAATGGAGGCAAAGTAGACATTCTCAGATAAATGAAAACTGAGAGAATTTGTTACTAGAGGATCTGACCTAAAAACTACTAAAAAAAAATCTTCTGCAGAAATCTAGTGACACCAGACAGTAATTCAAATCTGTATAAAAACAAACAAACAAACAAACAAAAAAAAAACAGAGAACCCATAAAAGTTATGTAGGTAAATACAAAAAACAGCATAATTGGCCCAGCCAGTGTGGCTTGGTGGTTGAGCATCAACCTGTGAACCAGGAGGTCATGGTTCAATTCCTGATCAGGGCATATGCCCAGGTTGTGGGCTAGATCCCCAGTGTGGGGCTTGCAGGAGGCAGCCAATCAATGATTCTCTCTCAAAATTAATGTTTCTATTTCTCTTTTCCGCCCCCTTCCTCTCTGAAATCAATACAATCTTTTTTTTTCAAAGACAGCATAATTGGATAAGCTTGTAACCCTGTTTTTCTCAAAATCTAATCAGATTTTAAATTCTTTGGTTTTTGTCAGGAAACTAGTCCCAATTTAAATAAATACTGTATAGAAGAGACAGATCTGAACTACCCTGACAAGGTCCTTGTTTGCTACCTCCTATTCCCCATTCTTAATTCAGAAGAAAAGTAAGGTGTGTGGTACAGAGAAACTCTGAGATAGATAAGAGTTATATTGCCTCCTCTGTCTCAAGGTATTTCATGTTTTTCCAATATTATTCAAACAATTTAACCACTTTTTGTTGGATCTTTAACCTTCTGCTGTATATCTTTGATGGTTTTTGAAAATAAATATGAATAATACCAAGCAATTAAATTTTATTTAGAAAACTAGTGCCCCAGTGCACGGATTTGTGCACCAATGGGGTCCCTCAGCCTTGCCTCTGGGGATCAGGCTGAAACCAGCCCTCCGACATCCCCTGAGGGGTCCCGGATTGCCAGAGGGCGGTTCTTGGGTGACACCCCAGAATCGGGCTTCCTCCTCTCTGGTTCCGGGTGCATCACCAGAGAACTGCAGCTGCCAAGTCACCACAGCTCAGCAGCTCCTGCATTGAGCATCTGCCTTTTGGTGGTCAGTGTGTGTCATAGCTACCGGTCAGACGATCGGATGGTCAGAGGTTGCTTAGGCTTTTATATATATATAGATATAATTAAAATACCGAATCAAAAGTCTTTTGGTCCCTGTCAGAGTAGCTCAGTTGGTTAGACTGTCACCAGGATATGTCAGGGCTACAGGTTCGATCTCCAGTAGGGGCACATACCAGAAGCAGCCAATGGGTGCATGAATGAGTGGAGCAACAAATCAATGTTTCTCTCTCTCTCTCTCTCTCTCTCTCTCTCTCTCTCTCTCTCTCTCTCTCCCTTCCTCTCTGTCTCTAAAATCAAGAAATAAAATTTTTAAAAAATCTTTTGGAACCTGAAATGTGTTTAAAATTTTAAACAAATGATCTTTAACAACACATATCTTGATTGTGTATTGCCTGTTTGTTGTTGCCAGTAGACTTCAAGTTCCATACACACAGAAGAAGTCCCCCTTACTTACCATAGCTCCAGCACCCTGCACAGGACCCAAACAGAGAAGCTAAGAACATGCAGTGTAAATATTCAATTCCATAAAATTTCCCGTTTTGTAATTTTGTGGTAGATTCACAGTAGACACTTACTACATGTTTAATGGGATTAGTTGGGAGGATATAGGAAAGGAAGATGACTAAACCTACCCATGTAAATACATCAACTGAGCAGAAGAAATTTGTTTTGTTCTTTAAAGGGATCTTTGTTTTGCGTCAGATTGGGCAGAAGGAAAATATTATAGGTCATCTGTAAGAGCATGTTTTCTCAGCCTCCAATGGCCTTGAGTGAAGGAATGGGCAGACCTCCTTAAGACTAAATACTTTGCACAAAATGCAGCAAGACTATCAAGAATCACCTGGGCAGACTGGTCACATGCAGATTCTGGAACCCACTGCTCCCCAACTCTGGTTAGTTGGGTTGCAGCTCAGAAATCTGTATGCAACTGGTCCTTAAAAACTCTGAGAAAGAAGGCATGGAGAGAGAACCTAATCAGTTGTAGCTACTGCCTACAAAGGGCA